ATCACTGTTGTTCAACTAAGCTCCTCTTTGAAGCACACTTAAACATCTGCTCTTTGGTAAGCTGCTTGGGATCAGCTTGCTGTTCCCGATGTTCTAGCTATGCCTTCATGCAATGACTTCCAGATGCCTGGAGCCGTCACTGCCATGGACAAACTGTCCTCTGGAGGCGAGGGATGGAACAGCAGACAGGTATTCTGTGTTCTGGCATTTTAAATAGGGGAGACACTGCTGAGAGACCTCCCTGCGTTTTTTTCTTCACCAGAAAAGTATTAGCACCAGAGTCTGAGATTCCTCCTTTTCCTCCTAATTGCCTCATCTGCTATGCTAGAAACAGACTCCTGAGACAGAGGTAAGATCATCCTTCCTTTCTGGGAAGTGATCCTGGCAGAGTAACCATTCATCTTCATCTGAAAAGGGCGAAAGTCATTTCTCCTCCCTACACACTGCAGCCTCCTTGTGAAGAAACTTCCTTATAGTTTAACCAACTGCATCAGACAGAGTAGCACTTCAGGATCCATCTATCAGTTCTTGTGCCAGGGCTCTGTGTGCTACAGTATTATGTAAAATGCTGATCCCATTGTAATATTTCTCCTCCTCCAGAGAGCGCTGGGTGATCTGGACCTGCAGTGGTCCAGGGAGTGTGGCATTGTTGGTGAACTCCAGCTTGAAGAAGTTGGAATGAAGACTTGCCATAGAGAGAAATGTAACTGTGTCATCTTCTGAACTTTGATGAAACAGTAAAAGAAACTCATTATTTAAGCAAAAGGAAACTCTCCATTAAGACTCCCTTTCTCTCTGCCCTGAAAATAGCAAGAAAGTAGATGGTGTTTTGCACAGAGAGGATTACTTACATAATGTCAAGATCCAAATGATTGTGAGGTGCTGCCCAGGTTAGCTGAGCTGGATCCCATGCACTACTCTATCTATGTACCCTGGATGAAGGAATGTATAGTTGGTGCTACTGTGATCCTGGTGTAAGTCAGGTCTACCAGCAAAAAGTACTGGAGTAAAACACAGACTGTGAAAGGCAAAATACTGCTATGTCTCTCCTGATGTTCAAAACTGGCTGACTGTCTCCTGCTCATAGAAACAGGAGCTGTAGGTTGGATGTTATCCACCCTGAAAGCCACAAAACAAAACCTTGATAAGGCCTGCCTTTACCACAGTGAGCTTTAAACAACCAAAGGTGCTCCATCCCTCCTCTGCTTCTCCCTTCCCCATGTCCAGGCAGAGGTATTTCGATGGCAGTGATGGGAGTGACCATGTAGAATTTATAATCAATGGTGACAAGAATGCTCAGTGTCAAAGCCAGGTCCTTGACATTACTTGCACATAGGGTCCTGCTTAGGGTGAAAATTAACAATGCATCTTTGTTTCCTAGAGGTATCAGGTTGAGTAACGGTAGCAGTTGGAGGCAAACTAACCACAAACTCTTGGCAAGCTGTGAAGTAACTGCAACTTTTGCAATTTTATTCCCTCCACTTTCTACTTTATGGCCAGAACTTCACAAAGACACCAGACATTCAAGTATCATATTTTTTCCTACTGAAAAAACAGTTCACTGATAAAAATACATGGAAAATAAAAAGTTATGCCAATTATCAGGGTTGGCATTTAAGAGAAATCATTTGTAGGTGTGTTTTCACGTGCATCTATATCTATGTGTGTCTGTGCATGTATGCACACATGAACACATCTGTATACTTAAGAAATTAGTATCAGAGTGTTGAAACAATCACATCACTGGTAATTAAACTGAGGAACCAGAAAGCAATTGAAATATTTCAGTTTAGTTTTGATAGTAAATGTAAGATCTGCAAGATGACACCCATCTGTAAGATGGGGTGTCATTTGCAGAGATCTTGGTCAATTAGTCATTCAAAATAGCAAACATATCATAATCTATTATGATGCACTTCTGGTGTCATATTAAAATGCTGCATGAGCAGTACTTGTCGACTTAAGTGAGGTGTAAAGTAAAACATGATCTGAAAAATTATTTAATATTAGTGTCTTTGGATAGTTATTGGGTATGTCAGCAAGTGACTTGGTGCAATGGAAGATCAGTAGATAGGAAAGGGTCACTAGAGCTTAGAGATTGTGCTGAGGCTCCTCAAATCTTTGTTACATCAATTTATGAATTCAGTTTGACTTGGGTTTTGCTATTGAATAAACCACAAAACAATCTGAGTTGGAATGGATGCTAGGAGACTGCCTGGTCCATCCATCCATCCAGACAGAGCCAGTTTCAAAGAAAGGCCAGTTTGCTTAGATCTTTCTGCACCTGACTTTGAGTATCTATAAGAGGATCAAGACCCTATAAATTCTCCAGGCCCTTATTCCAGTGTTTGACAACCCTCGTTGTGAGAGGGTTTCTTTTCTCGTATCTAATTGGAATTTCTTTCATTGTGATTTGTGTCTGTTACTTCATCCTTCCACTGTGTACCTCTGAGAAGAGTGTGGATTAGGTAGTTGTGAACATGACCCTTAACCATGTCCAAGCTGGACAAAGACAGGTCCTTCAGCATCTCCTCAGATGGCTGATCCTCCAGTAAAAACCCTCTAGGTTTACAAAAGAAATGTTATGCACACTCCACAGGACCTTGAGGTGGTAGCCCACATATTGATCATGCCACAGTGGGTATTGGAGTACCTTCAGACTGCCTTCTGAGTACATTCAAAACAAAAATTCTGGTCCTCTTTCCTCCTAAGGAATCCAGTTTACACACACAAAAACTCCTCTGCAAACTGAACCAGCATGAAGTCACAAGGGACCATCAGGGGGTTACTTCAAAACCGCACTAATGCAATTGAAGACTCTACAGTGAATACCACTCTAGAAATGTCAGTGTTCACCTGTGAACAAAAAGGCAAGGCAAAGGTTAGGAACTGAGGGGGAAAAATGGAGCTGAAACCAAAAGAATAATTATGATTAGGCACTATACAAATCCAAGATGCATTTTGGAGATTACATGTAATTCTAGCCAGCACATTCCTCAAAGGGCATAATAGAACTGAAAGAAATAGATAAATGTACACCAGGAATGATCCACTGAAATAGCTGGATCTATTTGAATAGTTATCTGCTAGATGTGGCTGACAGAATCCCGCTTCTCATTGTGGGAAAATAAACAATCTAGGGAGACTGTAGGAGAAGACCACAGCATCAGTAGTGATGTAGACAGATGAAAATGAAATATTTATTTGCTACTTCCCAGGACAGAAAAAGCAGAGATGACTAGCTGGCCACTGAGCCAAAGGGTGCTTGGTTTAGTTTCACATATCCGTTCTGTGTTCTTATAGTCTGTATTTATGGAACAGAAAATAAACTAACTGGGAGAGCAGAGAAGCAGGCAGATGTTTCGTACCACAATGGCTTATGTTGCTCCTGGGCAGGAACAGTTCAACGTACATCCTAAGATGTTTGACACATACCAAGGTGGCTTAACGTATCTTACACAAACTGGAGTGTCACAAGAGGTATTGCATGAATAACCTGGGATTTTGGAGAAGAAAAGCTTCAATAGGTTCGGAGAGAAACCCTGCCTTTTCACTAGGAAATGGAAATCAACTTGATTCTGGTTGGATTAAAAGTCACAAAAAAAGTGGGTAGCTTTTTGATTGGTTCAATATGTACTTGCTGAGAACAGAAAGCAGTTGTCACTCCCCCTAGGAAACACAGTATAAAAGAGGGTCTCGTCCCCACAATCAAATTCATCTGGAAGGAAGGGATCAAGAGCAGGTCTTCTTTGGCTTCTGGGCTCACCTGATACCTGGTAACTTCTCACCTCTTTTCAATCTTTCTTTCAATGTCTGCTGTTGTCTTTTCCTAAAACAAAACCCAAAACCCAGAAGAAAAAACAAGAACCACCCAAACCTCTGCATTATTAACCTAAATCTGTAGGTTACTGAAAAAGCTGATCTAAGTTTTCCAGGCTGAATAAGCAATTCAAATATGTGCTAATACTTAAAGTACTTCGATAAAAATACTCCGCTTAAAAACTTCTATGAAAAAATGTGGCTGGGTCAGGTTGCTGTAGAGAGGTGTGTCCAGCATATATTTTTTATATCTCTATGTTAAGAACTTTATTTCATTTTCAGAATTGTTGACTTTGCCTACTTGTTTGTCCTGGTATTTTTAAATATATAGAAATCTGTATAAACTTCAAATACTAATTTCAAAGCTGGTTTGGGCCACCCTCTACCATTCCATTTGCAAAAATACGAGATTTCAGGACAACCTCGTTTCCCTTCCTTGCTTAAGAGAACATAGTTTGTGACAGATCAGAAGATTCTCTAATGCTAAAATGTATGCTCTTAACCACCTCTTCTTTATCCAGAAACCTGCTTCTAGGCTGTCTTATCCCATTTTGCAAAAATTAGTTATTATTAACTAATAATAACTAATAATTAACTAATTATTAACTTCCTAAGAGAGCATTTCATGTTTGCTTTTCAAGTTTCATTTGTCAAATGGGAATTGTACATTTCCATTCTAGAACTGCTGCCTATGAGTCTATAAGACTAAGAATGAAGATTTGAGGGAGTTGATTTTGGCTGCTATTTCTTGATAAATTTTAACATTGTAAATTTTTTTCCCAAAGTTTATAAATTTGACTGTATAATTACCTCATTTTGTTTAGTGTTTTTTATTATAAACAACATTTAGATTAAAAAATTAACTAAAAAATAAATAATGACTTCATCTGGGCCAGGACTATTTGCAAAGTGAAAGAAATCTGAGCAAACTATTAAAATAATTTCATGATCACATATCACTAGAGTAGGTTGTCCCATATATATTTATTTTCTCCCAGAAATGCTCACACAGCAGTCAAGATATCACATAGGTCTTACTGGTTATTTTTCAAATAGGTAATATATATGCCATTTTGATTAATACAGTATTTATACACTTCAGAAGACTGTAGGTCCCAGGGACTGTCTATCATATGTCTTTCTTGCTCATTTCTTTACAGTGACACAGCAAATCCACGGTCATGAAGATCCTTTACTTGCTCTTTTCTCTCCTCCTCTTGGCACTTCAAGTTTCTCCAGGTAAGATGAAAAAGAGGTGCTAGAAGGGGACTTTTGTGTACCTGAATTAAACTCCCCAGCACATTTGAACCACTACTGGTTAAAATTGCTTGAAACTGAGCAGGAGTTATCATATAGCTCAGTGCCTGTGCTCCACTATAAAAACTCTTTCAAAGGTGGAGAAATTATGACTTCTGAACAAAAATGATTTTTCACTTCTGGTATCTCCCTAAAAAGGTCATGTTAAGTAGTTTGGTGTTAGACACTTGACATGGCGTCTGTGGTGGCCATGGTCTTTCGATAACAGCACACTCAGTAGTGTGATCTCACTCAGACGAAAATGAAGCCTGGCTGACTATTCTGGGATAGGAGGTGTTACTAAAGCCTCTGGACTCATGACCCTTTTCTATAAGGTAAAGAAATGATGATGAGTCAGGAGGTCTGTATCATTCTCCACCTGGACTTCAGAGCCATCCATTTAGATGCACTGTGACCTTATGATCCCACCTCTACAGGGTGTAGATCTGCTTTGCAAAATCACCTCTTCCCTCACTTTGTAAACACAACCTTTCAACATGGCCAAATCCAGGCAACAGTCTTTAGGCAAGTTGGCCGTGAAGGCAGCCCAACAAATGGGAAACCCTCTGGCATTATGACTGCATTTTCCTGCCCTGCAGAATGGGAGGAAAGGAAATCTTTTGTTGCTGTTGCAGGTTTGTCTTCACCCCGGCGGGACATGTTTCTCTGTAGAAAAGGGTCCTGTTACTTTGGAAGATGCCCCATCCATCTGGTTAAAGTTGGAAGTTGCTTTGGGTTCCGCTCCTGCTGCAAATCGTGAGTTTGACATTCACCAAGACTTACCTGCAGTATGAGCAGACAAATCTATTTTGCCTGTGTCCTTAAACCCAAGGTGCTAATGAACTTTCAAATTGCTCAGTGAGGAAAAATACCTAACATGCCATGAGGACAGTCAGGCGTTGAAGTAGGTTGAGCTGCATGGTTCTCTTTCTCCCAAGAAGTGCACCATGATCCGCCCCAGCGAGAGTGATGAAGTACTGTTGGAGATGTCAGCCTGGTGCTGTTGCAGCTCTGTGTAACTCTTTGCAGCTCCTGTGCCAGAGGAAAATATCAGGGTTTGGTATTCGCAGAACTGGGCTGCTGTGCTCTATGGGCAACAGAGGAGAATTCAGTTATGGTGCAGGGCGGACACAGGTATCTGAGTGTCATCAAATGCGTGCAAAAAGTGCAACAGTGTGGTAAAATGAAATTATCATATGAGAGGTAGCATTCTGTTTTCACTCAGGAGCGAATGCATTCACCCCTGTACAAAGGGATACCAACTTAATTCTCTGCTTTTCAGGAAACAATAGGAAACCACTCTTCTTACTCACAGGGATGAACGCACAGGACTAGTCCCAGCATGGCGACACATAACATTAGGTTTTTTGGGAAGTACTTATACCCAAGAGGAAAATATGCATGTATTGAGAGTAAGTAGGGAGGGGATACAAGCAGAAAGAGAATCTAATTTTATTTATTTTTTCTTTGTGCAGGCCATGGGATATATAAAAACTTCATGGACCACCCATTCAAGAGTGATGAGAATTTCTTCTGAAAGTAGGCATTTGCTTTGAACCCCCTTACTGCCCAAACCACCGAATCCTGCTACGAAGACTCATGCACCTTACATTTTTAATGCAAAAAAGCTTTATGATGCAGAGTAAATCCAAATGTGTTCTTCATTGCTTTCCCTCCTGTTTTGAATAAATTGCTGTTGCTTAGCGTTCACATCACTGAAACATGGGTTTTTGTTGCATGCGCTGTGAATGACGATCCTACCTGGTTTAGACATACAGACCCCAGAGGGCAACAATTTACAGTGCCATCTGCTCTTTAACTTGAGCTTTTCTGAGACATACAGATGTCCAGGGCTAGCCAGACATGGCCTGAAGGCCTTACCCTCCAGTACAAAGAGAAATGATGGGTGGAAAAATCATCTTCACTTTGCCACAATGTGTTCAGATGCCAAAATCCTTTTTTTCTTACTATGCAGAAATCTTTTCTTGGGGAAAGAGAAATAGAAATAACTAAAATCCCAGACACCCACCATCCATTAAAACATCAGCATCTGAAACTTAACATTCTGGCTTCTGGAAGATGCCCATAAGCATCCCAGGAAAGATGTAGTCTTTTTAAAATAATGCAACAATTTATGCCAGTTCTTTCCCCTCCAGAAGTTGTTTGTCCTGTAATTTCACAGCAATGAATGTCAGTTTTGCTTTTTTCCCCCCATCAGTCCCTCTATGAGGAAGCATAAGAGATAATAGATGGAGAACAGCTTACATTGGTGTTGTCGTTTAAGGCCAGTTGGCATCTAAGTACCACAAAGCCACTTGCTTACCTTCCCCCCTTCAATGGGATGGGAAAGATAATCGAAATGTAAATAAAAAAGGTAAACACATGGGTTCAGACAAGAATAGTTTAATAATTGAAATAAGGTAAAATATAATAACAGTAATCATCATCATCATATTCATCAAATCATAGAATGACTTGGGCTGGAAGGGACTTTAAAGATCATCTAGTTACACCACCTTCCACTAGATACCCTCCCACTAGACCAGGTTGCTCCAAGCCCCATTCAACCTGGCCTTGAACACTGCCAGGGATGGGGCAGCCACAGCTTCTCTGGACACCCTGTTCCAGTGCCTCAGCACCCTCACAGTAAAGATATAATAAAAGGGAATAATAATCCCCAAATGATGCACAATACGACTGCTCACCACCTGATGACCAATACCCAGCTCATCCCCAAGCACTGATTGGCAACTCCCAGCCAACTCTGCCCAGTTTCTATTCTGAGCCTGCCATTCTGTGGCACGGAATACCCCCTGGCTGTGCTCCCTCCCAGCTTCTTTTACACCTCCTCACTGGCAAAGCGTGAGACTGAAAAGTCTTTGATCAGGTTAAGTGCTACCGAGCAACAACTAAAACATCGGTGTGTTGTCAATGTTGTTCTCAGACTAAAGCCAAAACACAGCACCAGGAAGAAAAACACATTACCAGCTACCAGAAAGAAAATTAACTCTGTCACAGCTGAAACCGTGACAAATGGTCTGTCTTCATTAGGTCCCTCCACCATCCGACACACTCCCTTTGGTTCTCCATTGGGATACACACATTTATGAGATGATGCTCAGAAGGGGATTTTGCTTGCCTGCCAAAATGGGCATTTGTATGCCCTACGACTATTCCTTTGCACTTCTTAGCAGGGAACAAACATATCCTCAGGTGTCCCGTCTAACTTCTAATCCTCTTTGGCATGATTTCCTATACTCAAGTCATGACTTGCAAGAAGTCTTGACTCTTCCACAACAGCACATGGAGATCAGGCAGAATATCACACAACACTAGAAGTTACACTCACAACATCCGAGAAACTGAAGGCATCCTCACCAGCCTGTTGGTTCTCCTGACTCTATTGACTGTGATGGGAATCTCACCACCACTGCGCCTATAGTCACCCAAATTAAGTCAGAGGAACTGGCACCCCCCAAATGTATTGCATGCTGTATGTCCTGTAGAAGATATGGTATATGTGCTTCACGGGGCACATAATACCTGGTACTGAAATATTCTGTCTCAACCCCTCTCTTACCTCCTGCAGTTCTGCCTGATCTTGTGCAAATCATTTCCTTGAGTGGCACTGCTTGGCAATGTAACCTTTTACGGTTATGTTTGGGAATGAAGCACACATTGTGGAAGTAAAGGACAGGAAACACCGTTATTTCTCAACATACAGGAGTCAGGGGGTAGCTGGCCACCAACTGTTGAGGTTTCTCTACAATTCAAAAGCTGAAATTTCTTGTTGATGCTTTTCAAGCCTTGACCTTTAGCTTGACAAAGTATACAGGACATTGCTTGCTGTGAAAGGCCAAATGTCACCCATGTCCTGGTCCTTGTTCCTGACAGCCACAGGCACCAGCAGCACCAGATGCTTACGGAGCTCTGTGCTGGGCAGTGTCCCTGGGGTGGGCAGTACCTACCATAGAGGCCTCAGGCTCCTCCTCATCTTGCTCTAGCACACGGTAACCATCCCTGTTGGAGGCCCTGCTGGTACCTTTGCTACTTCATGCCCCATCCCATCACACAGCAGGGAGGACCTCCCTTGCCCTCATTAGCACTTGGGCTTTCAGCGCTTTAGCTGTCTGCTTTTGAAGCCAGGATTCACATGGAGCTGCTGCGTGGCCTTGAGTAACAGCGCTGCATGAGAAAGAGCTTTGATAAACAGGACTCTCCCAAAGATCACTTAAGAGCTGCTTTTAAGCTCAATTTCCTTTCCCTGGCCCTTACTTGAGTTATTTGCCAGCTTTGATCCTGGATGTACACCTTGCTGACCTCCTTCCTGGAGCTGCCTCATTGCTGTGAAGCCAGATTTACCTGTAGAACAGTAAAGCCTGGTCTTGCTCCTACCTGACGAGTGTTGTGGTCACACGCAGACCTGTGCACAGACAAGCTATAGCACAGCTTTGTATGTTGGTCTGTAGAAGAGCTGAGGTTCGTGCCTGATAGCAGAGACCAGCAGGGGTAGTCTGGTATGGGCTCCAGGTGGGAAAAGAGGAGGAGGCATCCTGTTTCTTCCCTGGATATTGGGAAACTTTAAGATACAGGTTACCCTCAGCAAGCCTGCAGATGACACCAAACTGGGTGATGCACCAGGGAGCTGTGTTGCCACCCACTTCAACAGGCTGGGTAAATGGGTTGACAGGAACCTCATGAAGACCAGCATAGAGAAGTGTAATGTCCTGCACGTGGGGAGGAACAACACCATGCACCCACACATGCTGGGGTCACCCAGCTGAAAAGCAGCTTTGCAGGAAAGAACCTGGGTGTGCTGGTGGACACCAAGCTAAACATAAGCCAGCAATAGGTCCTTGCAGCAAAGTAGGCTATCCTGAAGTTATCCTGGGCTTCATTCAGCCAAGCATTGCCAGCTGCTCGAGGGATGTGATCTTTCCTCTCCACCCAGCACTTGTAAAGCCACACCTGGAGAACTCTGTGTCCAGTTCTGGGCTCACCAGTCCAAAACACATATAGACATACTGGAGAGAGTCCAGCAAAGGCCACCAAATTGATGAAGGGACTGGAGCATTTCTTCTACAAGGAGAGGCTGAGACAGCTGGGTCTATTCAGCCTGGAGAAGAGAAAGCCTGGGGGAAACCTTACCAATGTATCTAAATACCTGAAGGGACAGTGCAAAGAGAAGGAAGCCAGGCTCTTTTCAGTAGTGCCCAGTGCCAGGACCGGAGGCCATGGGCACACACTGAAACACAGCAGGTTCCTCTGAACATCAGGAAACACTCTTTTACTGTGAGGGTGACCAAGCACTTGGCACAAGTTGCCCAAAGAGGTGATGGAGTCTCCATCCTTGGAGATCTTCAACTGCCATCTGGACATGGTCCTGGGCAACTACTTGAGCAAGGGGGGTGGACCAGATGACCTCCAGAGATCACTTCCAAACTCAACCATGCTGTGAAGCTACATGTCTTTATTGAAGCCAGGGAAAAACAGTCTTTGCCCAAAAAACACCAGGCCCATGACAGGATGTCTCCAGCTCGTGAGAAACCAGTAGGAGCTGCTTGGGGTGGCAGAAGCAGGGAACAGAAAGGACATCAGGAGATGGTTTCAGGAACCAGAAGTGAGGGGGACATTCTGCTTGGGAAGTCCTGGGATTCATCACTATTTCCTGCATAAACAAAGCACAATATGTGGTCAACAATATTTATTTCTCCTGTTCATTCTTTTTCTTCCTCCAGTCTCTCTGACACTTCTATTATAAGGATCTGTAGAGAATTACTGGACAACCTTTCCTCAGATAAACTCCAGTCCTTATTTCAGATGACTTGGACCTGCGCATTCCTTAGTAGTTGCAGTCTTGAATCCAAGGCTCTTCAGAAACCTCACTGAGATTGTCCTGTGCCACATGCTATACAAAGATCACACTTCACTTTCACAGCATGGGAAAGGGAGAATGGGAAGATGCTGGCTGAATCTGGGTTTCTTCAGTCCATACAGGGCAGGTTCAAGCAGCTTTACAAAGGAATTTTAACCCTCCTCTGGCCTCCGTCTCTTAACAGGAATGCAGGAGGGTGTTATCCATCAGTGTGGATGTAAAAACAACAGCAGATCTATTCCAGCAGAGACAGCAGAGGGCAAATTCCTGAATGTCTGACTTCTGAACTTACCTTTTGCAGCAAACCACCAAATTTTTACACCTTCCATAGATGCGATAAGGGTGATAGCATGTCAAAAAACTACAGAATCCCCCTTTGTGCTTACACGACCATTCATTTCCTGGAACCAGAGATGCATCTATAGAGAGAGACAATTGAAAGGAAAAGACAATTTGGGAGCACATTCTGTAATTCCAGAAGAGCTGATGCTCCACTAGGATTTCAACCCACTTTATTGGCCAAGTATTAAAATGACCACAACTGTGCTGTCAATATCTAGTTAACTACCTAGAAGGACTATCAGCTAAAGCCCTGAAGCATAGATATCCCTGGCTGTTTGTCAGACAAAGGGATATTTTTCATCCT